TGCCCTGACCCCAAACCGTGGCATATGAGAAGATTAATAGTGGAAAAGGCTGATTTAAAGCATCCACTCTTAAAAGCTCATGTTCTTTGAAACTGAGAAATGAGAACTAAGGCTAAGCTTGGATAGAAGAGTGTGTATTCTTTTTAGTTTTGTTCCTTTCTACAGGCTGTTCCATTTTGTAGGTTTCTAGAGTATTCAATAAACAATACCTTGTATCACAGTCTCTAAATGTGACCTCTGTGAGAACAGAAATCTGCAAAACATAATCGGAAAAACTAGCATATTCATCTGAATATTGCAAAAGGCATTCTGTTAGTACACTTACAAACCCCTGCTAACTGTGTCAAGCAATAAAGTGCTCAGATACCATCTGATCAGCTGTACTCATCTCCAGACAAAAATTATTCCCATAAAAATGTAAACAGAGACGAGTGACTTAATCTGTTCTTATGCCTTTCCCTAGCACCCACTTTTGGTCTCTGCTGGAAGTAGGATAGCCAGGTGCTGGCTCATTATGGCTTTTTTATATTGTCATATTTTTATGTTAACAAACTATGTCTATATATATATTTTTTTTTTTTCAGAATTTTAAAGGAATTTATGTTCATTTGGTACTTACCTTCCACAGAAATTCGAGTGAGTTAGCTGGCAGGAGCATTTCATAAAATGCTGAATTTTAGAGTAGTCCCTACTTCAGCTATGCATTAAGTGCTCAACCTTAAGTATGTGCTCACTGAACTTCAATAGGTCTCAGAGTGCGTTGTTGAATAGGGATGGGATTATTCACATACTTTCAGATAAGGTTGCTGAACTGGAGCCATATTGCACAGTACTTGTGGGAAGTTATTTTCCAATTAGGAAAGGGAAACACTATGTGTGATTTGTATGCACACTCAGAAAATTTGAAGACTGAATTTTATCTAGTAAGTATGCATTTTGAATTGCTCATAGACAAGCTTCCAAGAATTATTAACAGGGGCAAAGCTGAAACAAAATAATTTTAAAATGAGGGTGCATATTCCCAGCACCTTTTTTTTCTCTCCTTTCACATAGCTCTGGCTGTATCTCACAGCTCTTCAAAAGCACAAAATAGATTATACAAAAATGGAGAGTTTCTAGTCTTTCACAAATTGTGATCAAGTTAGCTGCAGCACAGGATGGTCCTTATTGATATCAAAAGATTTAGTGTTAGAACTTTGACAGGACTGCTAATAGAACTTTCCTAATCCTAAGTGAAAATATAAAAGGCAATCTCATGTTTTCACTCAAAAGACAACATAGGTTAGTGTAGAGTTATAATAGATTCTCAGAACTGTTCAAGGAAAACAAAGCAAACTCAAACTGAGACCTATAGGATCATAAGAGCCATTGCATACACATGCTTTGTGGTTTCCTCTTTGTTGTTAAAGAATGTTCACACTGCAGGTCATGTAGACATATCCAAGCTGGCTTTAAAAATTTATTTCTATTAATGATAACCATGTAATCATGAAAGCATAGACCTCAGTCTGGATATTTTTACCAGTTTTCCAGGGTGGTTTGGTAACCCATTTCTGTCCTGCTCTACTGCAGCTACAATCATATTGGTATCTAATCTATATAAAAAGCTTGTGTATTTCTACACGAGCTACAGTGCCATCAGGGCAGAAATGTGCTTTATGTTATGAGTGCTGAAGGAGGATGTACCTGTTGTCGGTATGATGATACCTGAAGAGCCATCTGTTAGTGGAGATGGATTTATGGCACTTGGCTGAACTGTAGATTTCCTGTGAACTTGCTGAACCAACCAAATTTCTCATTTGCCAGCCTTGTTAGTCCTGACATTATTCCATAATATAAAAGGAAGATGAAGAAAATGTAAATTATTATTTGTATTAGTTCTTGACGGTAGTTATAAGTACCTGTTTAAGAATGGAAGGCACCACTCAAATATCTAATCTCCCTGCTAAAAATATTGAATTTAATGCTTTGTACAGGGGTCACGCCAGAAGAACATTTGCTGTAGAAAGACAGCCAGTCAAGACAAGTAATCTGTTCCTACTTAAAACAGTAGTAGAATTCCTAAATATTTCTGCTTTTGTATTGTAAGAAAGGGTATGATGCATCCTGAAATATAAGTAATACAGAATTTGTGCATTCTTTGATCTTAGAACATTTGTGCTAAACTTGATCCATACATAAAGTTCTTATGTCTAGTGATAGGGTTCAGAGTCAAAGAAAGAAATATGAATATTCACCAACGTCTCTTGTAAAACAACCTGATACAGAAACAGAGTAAGAGACCTGATGCATCCTTATGGTCAGTGACACAATTCTTCAGATACCTCAGCTGAGAAATATCAATAACAGTTCTTCATGATGTGAAAGAGATGCCTGGATATGTGTATACATATATGAAACCTGTAGGCACATATTTAGATATCTATGGCATGCAGTCTTCCCCATCCTGACCTACATACAAGGCACATCTGTGTGTGGTTATATGCGTATATAAACACATGTATGGCTAGGGAAGGCTGCATGTCACACATAGTTCCAAGAAGTTTTCTGAACTTTGATGTTTAACAGTTGCAAACTATGCTACCTCTCTCTGTAGTTTTGTGATATTTTGTGATATATTAAAATTTGATAGTTTGGAAAAATGTAGTCCAGGTCACTGCTTTCTGATAGTATAGATTTTTTTTGCTAGCAAAAATGCAGTAGGAATGTCTGCGAAGAGAATATCTGCTGCTGAGGAAACTGAGGCATGAAGATACTGTGCCTTTTTCACTACCAGGCAGCTTGTACATAAGTAGAAAAGAATCTCAGAGAGCTCCAGGCATTCTGCCCTCAGTCTGTATGCTGTGACTGTGACAGACAGCGACTGGTTTCTAAATGTCTTACCAAGCTGCCTTGCACTCATCTTCTTTGCCATCTGTCATGTTGTTGCAAATGGAAAGACCACATTTAAAGCAGCCATTACTGAGTGGGTTTACAAAGGATAAATCACAGAAATTTTGTCACTAATATATTTGAGCCATTGAAGTAGCATATTGAGATGACGTTATCTACCCTTAAAAATAATGACCTGTAAGATAAACTGTGAAACCTGTTACTCGTATTTTCTGTCCTGTGCAATTGTTTGTTACTGTGTTTAGCTAAAACTACAAGGTATATGGTTAAGTGAACCTGATAATCCTGCCAACTGTATACACATGAAGCATCTATGACTCATTTATCATGCTACCTTTATGAGCTTTTAGTTCTGTATGTCTTTCTACTTATGATAATATTATATAACTGTAAGCTGAAAGGTCTTTCCCTCATTTGCCCAGAGGGTTTTGTTTAATTTCATTTGGCTTTGAGTGCTTTTATGTCTTGATTCTATTAAACCTTTTCATAATTTAGACAAATCCATTTATACTTCTGCTTGCTTTAAGTCAGGAATGTAAACCAGAGGCATGCAAAGAACCTAATGAAATTCAGCTGTGTGGTATTGTATCATGAATTTGTAGTCACAAGTACAATCGCAGTAGACTAAGAATTTTTGTGTGCTCTTTATGAATTGGATGTGATCTAAGCCAGAATAGCCATGACAGGATTGATAATTGCTACTGGAGGCAATAGCTTGCTGCTTTATTATTTGCTTCACTGGATGTTAAAGGTTTGTTTTGCACTGGAATAATTTGCCTGTCTGAAGTTATTTGTGTCTCAAAAAAAAAAAAAAATCATCAAAATGGGGCTTGAGGGCTTGAGGCACAAGAAAAGAGCTGATAGATGACAACTATTTGCAGTACAATTCTTGGTGCATTTAAGTTATGCCCTTTTGAAGACAGGATTGTTAGTACATTAGTTTTAAAATTAAGAAGCTTTAGTGAAAGATGCCTGACCTGCAATGGCCTGAGCAGCAGTCTCATTCAGGTTGTAGAAGTATGTGACTCCCTGGTCAGTGCCATTGATATGTGTGTATTAAATTTTCCAATACAGATTCTGGTTCTTTATATGCAATTTCAGAGACTCGAGTGTGAGACAACCCCATCCATAGTATCAGCACGCCCTTTCCAATGGCTGTTATTTTCTCTATTGTTACTGAAACCATTTCTAGATTGCCATTTTCAAGATGGAGATTTCAGTGACTTTAAGTACTGTAACAAAGATAGTATACACCTTTCAGAGACAAAGCAACATTAACAACAAAATGTGCAACCTACGTGTTAGTTTTTATAATTGTAAATTTTAGCAGTAACTTCTGCAATTCTAGCTGTGTGTGTAGTTGCAAAGAATTCCATTAGACACAGACTTAATTTTAAGCAGTAGTAAACATTCTTTCTTGAAACATAAAACTTGGTGCACTGCTAGTGGAAAAGATGTCCCAAAGAATCTCTCTTATTACAGCCAAAGCAAGTGTCAGATGTAATAAAAGGACTTGGAGGCTCAGTTATTGCCAGTAGTCATCAGGCCATTGACAGCTCAAGTCTGATGTACTTTTTCTAGTGGTGGCCCTGTATTTGAATCATCAGGGAAGTAATCCAGTTAGTTATCTCTTTGATAGTGCATTGTAATTTGAACATTCTTAAAATCAGGTCATATAAGGAATAAAGTTAGTAAGTTGTTCTATAAGGAGAGGTGTAAAAGGCTGTTTGTATTTCTAAAATCTCCCCTCCCCATCCTTCCCCGCAGTGCGCCGATCCAAAGCTGCAGATGAGGAGAGGAGCCACAAGGCACGCAGGGCCCGGGACGAGTACCGACGGCAGTCCTTGTGTGCCATCCAGAAGGGGAGAGTGGCTGGCCTGAGCAATTTGTTCCAAGGGACAAGCCTGAATAAGGACCAGGAGTTAAAGCTGAGCAACAATGGTACAAGTCCTTTGCTGTCTCTCCCTGCATCATCCAGGTTGGTTTGTAGAGGAGTGACTTTGAAATGGTTTCCTTTTGAATTGCTCCCTCTCCAATCCCCCACCATTTCAACAAACCCTTCCTCAGTTGGTGGAAATTCTTAGTCTTGATCAGAAAAAGAATATTGAAAGAAAAATTAAAACAGACTGAATACTTAATGTACACTATTTTTTTCCATCTATTTTTCACACAGAGAGAGGTGGATCCTTCTAAAGCCAGTATCAGATTAGTATGCAAGGCTGTGATATGGAGAAGTCAAGTGCACAAAGTCTTAGGCATGTTGTAAGCCTCAAGCCTAGAACTGCCTGCTGCTTAACAGGTCTTTCAAACATGTTACAGAGACCTGTCATACTCCTGAGTTTCAAAGGTTTTAAGGTTTTTTTAGGCAAAGGCAGGTGTCTTTGGTGTTTATTAATCTTTCATCTGACTAGGGAGCTCCATGAATTGGAGAAAAGGAACAGAATCCAAACAGGCAGATGGGTGCTAGAAAGTTAACTAGTCACTCTATTCTTCCTGGTTATTTCTTATACCATTAATTTGTCTTCATGTGGTGATAAAGGCAATGTGAGTACTGACTGGATGGTAGCATTAAATGCTTAAAAAAATTAAAATCCCAACCACCATTGTCAGGGCTTAGAAAGGAAAGAGTCCCATTTCATTGTTTTACTTTACCAATCAGTGTAGCACCAGAGAGAATCAATCCCTCATTGTTTGGAAATGTGTTCTGCTCTGACAAGTTCTTTGTTCTGCTGTGTTGCGACACAGAAACTCTCCAGTAACAGCAGCCAAAAATCCCAGTTTGAGGAGGAATCAGAATTTCTCTCTCAAAGAGAGCAAGATCTTTAAAGTTACCATCAAATCAACTCGTCAAAGGAGTTATCTCATTATTTTTCCAAACTACTTAAATTCTTCTTCAAACTGAAGTCATAAAAACACTAGCAAAAGTGGCAAATTTTGAAAAAGGTCCATAACTTTGACCTGAAGTCCTGAGCTTGAGGTGAGGTTATCTACTATAGAATTTGGTGGTGCTAGATGTGATCCTTTTCAAAAAGGGCATGAGAAGAAACTAAAAATATTCTGATCGTTATCCAGTTCATGTTCAACACTGTTTAAGTTATGCCTATACTACAAAAAATGGGTAGTATTTATTTTTCTTATCTCTTAAGGCTTCTCTTTGTCCATTACTTGATGGTGAAGGTATCAATAAAAGTTACTTTAAACATATGCTTTAACAGTGAATATACATAAATGTATATAATTCACTTCTCACACCTAACACTAATATGGCAAAGCAGGAGCAGATGTGTATCTAAAATCTTACTTTGCCCGTGACCTGGCAGGTCAAGGAGGAGATGCACAGTATGTTGTTATTCACCAGTAGTGTGAGACAGATTTTTTTTTTTCCAAGGGAATGTGGGTGCAGTGTTATGTCTCTGAAGTTTTTCAGCATGAAGCATAGCTCCTGTATTTTTTGCCTAGCCTTTTCTTTTAAAACATGAAAATAACCTTCTTTTATTTTTATTTGAGACCATTCTTATAATTTCTATATAGTTTAGAAAGCTTTCATTTGATTTTTTTTTTCCTACCATCTTTCTTATTTTGCTGAGTGCACTTTTCCCAAGGAAACTCTTCAGCCTACTTATTCGCTTTTACCCTTTTGCCTACCGTATTGGTTTTTGTTGTGTGGGTTTTTTTGTTTGTTTTTTTTTAATTTACTTTTGTGGTTGTGTTTCTTTCTTACTGGAGAGGCTCAGCCATAGTAGCTGTATGGAAACTGACACAGTAATTTTGAGATTTGGCCCAGGGCAGGAAAAAATTGTGGTTCTGGCAAGTTTTTCAAAACTAAACTGAGTTATAGAGAAGTCAGTTAAGAAATGACAATGAATTGTAGGGCTCTGGAATATAAAGGATTTCTTGTTTCTTTTTAGAAAATACTAAAAAACAGAAGTAAGAAACATGTAGTTTTTTTTTTTTTAAGGCGTGGCTATAACTGAATTCTCACTTTCTCCATGTAGTTTGTTTTTTTTTTTAAGGTGTGGCTATAACTGAATTCTCACTTTCTCCCCTCACTCCTGGCTGTATCTTCAAGTTCTATGATGAATATTGTTCAGAGCTACTCAGAGGTGTTTGCGTAATTTAGCAGTAACTATCACACTTACTGTGGGCTTCATCACTGTAATATCAACAAAATCAATCACTAATTATAATAACAGGTAGACAGGCTGAAAGGAGGACTCAGTTGCATTTCATCAAGTCAAAAGCATGACCTTTTTTGCTTTTATTCCTTTCTAAAGCGCACTTTGCTGTCATGAATTGCAGAACATTGTTTGTGAGGGTTCTTGATTTCATCTCACAAACTAGTTTAATGCTGTTTGGTGACTTCTGAGATGACATTCTACTTTTAGTACTAGTTTGCCTTTATGTGGTCTAGATATATGCAACATTAACTCCATAGCAGGTGGAGTAGGAAAGCTAGAAGTGTATAGCCAGCTACTGTACTGGACACTGTAAAGTGTATGTCTCACCAAATGAAAGTGCAAGTATAGAAACCCACACTAAGCTTTACCCAATTTGTCTGAAGAAGAACACAAATGAAGTATTTTATGCTAACAGTTTGAGTGCCCAGAATCCCATGGGATTTCAAACTATATATAAATGCATTGTAAAAGCTCCGTTTTACTACTGTTATCAGGGTAAATGAGATTGTATGCTTAACTGGAATTCAGTTGATGATTTACAGTACCTTAGTCATTACTTGGGGTAGCTGGGTGGATTTTCCACATATTTTGCCTCATTTGCTGCCTACTAGCTAAAATAATTTAAATGCATAGAAAGTAGCAGAAACAGTAAGGGACACTGGCAAGGTAGAGAATGCGAAGGGAACATAAGGGTTTAAACAAAACTTTCCCTCTGATGCTCAGTGGTTTGGATACACAACCTATTATAGCTGATTCTGATTTGGAATTTCTTGCCAGTGAAAAGGAGTATACTCAAAGCAAAAAAATAAACTTTGCTTGTCAATATGTACATTGGGATAAAAATGAGATGGAAGAGGAAAGCTGACTGAAGTGTCTATTGCATGTTTTGTAGTAAATCGTTTTTCATTTTAAGTTCTGTGCTTAAGAAAATGTTTAAGGTTCCATTGTAAATGTAATATGAAAATATTCTGTTTTCCATAAAAGACTCAAAATAATTTTAACAAACTTGAAAAAGGTTAAAATTGCTCAGTGAGTTATACTGAACAGCAGTTATAATGACCATTTCGTAGCTGTATGGTTTTTAAATTAAAAAAAATATTTATATTGATGCTTGCTTTCAGACACTGGAGATTATCTGTCTGACCCTTTTCTGTAATTACTTGCCTTTCAATGCAGTAACATCTGGGAGCGTCCCTCTAGACCCTTTTCCCGAGATGTCATCATTCGTTGGTTCAAAGAAGAGCAGATCCCTCGACGTGCTGGATTTGAGAGGAATACCAACAGGATTGCTCAATGGTTTCATGGTAATAAACCAATTCTTTGTTTATTATATAATAAAGCTCTAAGAGTACGGTTAGGAAATAAATCTTGCCAGCTTTCATCACAAAAAGGAATGTCTACTGACATTGTGAAACCTAGTGCCTGTTAAAACAAAGAGGTTTGCATCATTCCTGTTATTCAGCTATGATTTTCCTGTTGGTTAGTTGTTTTTTTTTTTTTCTGATTAGGGAGACTAATTTATAACTCATATCACCAAAGTTTTTTTTTCAGGAAAAAAATGAAATTTTGGTTGATATATACATTCTTTAAAATAGCAAGACAATAGGAGAAATGAGACCAAGACAGGATGGGGAGGACTCCAAAATAAACTGGCAAATACCATAGTGATGTGGTATGTGCCTGACTGACGTTCAAGGACTTGAACTCACATCTGTTTAACCCCTGTTGTACTTTCCAGACCAGTTTAGCATTTCTTTCTTTATCACTTTCTTCTGTAAGCAAAAAAATATTGAAAGATATTGACTTTTCTCAGAAAGAATTGGAAGTTTATTTTTAGGCAGTTTTCATGAAATGGGAGAAACAATTCCTGTTCAGATGCATAATTTGCTCTCATCCCTGCTGGAGTTCCCACCACCTCTGAGGCATTCACTCCATACAGCTTTTGCTATGCAGCTGAGTCTTCCACATCAAATTCACAGGTAGAACATATTATTTTCAAAGGTATTAGCAATAATCTTTTTATTTGTTATATTAAAACATAAAAAAAAGATAATTCTGGCTTAATAGCTGACATAATTGAGGGTCTGGAAAGATTTTTAAAGTTAAATCTCAATACTTTTTCATTGTTGCTTATGGTGAGTCTGATCTTTCTTTGTTCAAAGCACTACGCTGACCTTCATCCTATTTTAATGATTCTCTAATCATAAGATGAAGACGTGTGGGTGTTCTAAACTGAACCAGGCAAGGAAGATTTCTAAACAAGTTTAGTGTTTCATGTATGTCAGATTTCATGATACACAAATCCTTATGTATTAAAAGACATCAGGAAGCTACCATTTTCATTGGCTTAGCCAAAGACAGTGAAGTCACTCATAAATAGCTTGTAAATGCCACATACTTCCATTTCTTATAAACAATGATACAGACAGGGTTTATTGTTTTCCTAAAAAAAAAGACATTTGGTGTGATTTTTTTTCCAAGAGACAAAGTGATTAAAGTTTTGTCTGTGGACTTTTTTCAAAAGTATTTTCAACCATGATCTTTCTGTATGGTCCCAATGGTAAATGTTTTCCCTGCTTGTGGAAAGTTCACATCCATATAAATTGACATGAGTAGTTATGAACAGAATTCATGCCTTAGAAAGTCACCTGAGCTTGAGCTAATACCTGTGCAGTCTTTCTGTTGACTTCAGTGGCTTTTGGATTAGTCTTAATCTCTGCAAGAGTTAAGTAATTCACGATCTTTCTTTTAGTTTCTCAGATCATGCTGTTCATATCTTAAACTGTGAGTATCCAATGACATTTACAAAATGTGTGCAAAGTACCTTATTTGTACTCCTGCTCAAAGGAAACTGCTTTAGCTGCTGCAGCTCTGGTCAGAGTCATCATAATCCTTAGTGAACAACTCAGCTGCCCTGTAACTTGTGGAGTGATGAAAGCTAAACATCAGGCTGTTACAGATCCAGAAGTCAATGTCTTGTAGTGTTATGTAGTGTCCATGTTACTTTGTCTTTTTTGAGAAAAAATTACCTGCTTCATTGAATTGCCTCCAATTTTGAGGGTGGGAGTAAGTGGGGAGGGGAAGGCGACCAAAAAAAAATTTGATCTAGATGAAAAATCTCTTTTCTAGTCTTTATTTTTTATGAAAATAAAGATTGCGACTTCTATCGTATAGTGGTTTTTAGGATCTCGGTGTTTTGTTGGTTTGTATTGTATTCAGGGAACTAGGACGTATGTTTTTTGTGGATCAACAAAAATACAGCCGAACGTATCTGACGTAAGAGAAATTGGCAACACAAATGAAAGTAGTTCTGCAAAGCCCAGAATTATGGATAACCACTTGAGCCAATGGGGCAATAACAGAACCATCATTTGGATGGGTGGATGTTTCTGTGGAAAGAGCTGCTGCCTGGTATTTAATGTTGTCTAGTGTTAGGATGACAGATTCTTAAAGTGTCAAACAACTCTCAAAACAGGTATAATTTTCTTATATCCCAGTTTTGGACCATAAAATGGGAGGATAATATTTGGCCTAATGTTAAGGGCTTTTTGAACGCACTGCTCTAAGAGATCTATTACAGCAGTACTGAAAAAGTAGGTATTTGTTACAGAATTACTTGGTTTTGCCAAGGTCAGTAGACCTTTTCTTACATGCTTTGACTAGCAGGTTGTTCAGCCTTGTATCTAAAGTCAAAGCATTAGCTGATTCACTGTCTTCAAATTGTACTACGGACAGTGATATTTTCCAGTTATACAGAGATGAAGGTTTGAGATAGATGTGTTTGTCTAAACTAATGAAGTCCATGTAATAATGCAGAAATGTCTTTACCCTCATATATTTGGCATATTTCCTATGTTAAGTCATCAAACTGATCTGGATTCTGTTTTAAAATAGATATTGTCTGGGGCATTTGCATGGTATGTGAAACAGGGTAATATATGGTGTATGTAATATACTTGAAGTTTTCCTTTTGTCTTCACTTGAAGCATCACTACAAAATGTTACATTTGGAGTGGTAAAATCTGTAGTCAAGACAGTATTTTAAAATCAGAGCCTTTCCTTCCATATTAACAAAATGACTTCTTAAATGAATATCAGCTTCAACTTCATCCATTTGTTTATCTCTTGAAATTATCATCAGTTATTGTAACTCCACTAATACGTTTTTAGCTCATTTTGCATAGGCTTTACTGATTTTCTGATTTAAAAAGTTAGTATGTTAAAGATACACACTATAATGGTCAGCTGAATTTTGGATATAAATTCTATTATTTTTGCTGTGTTCGAGTAATGGATCCTTGCCAACAACTAGATTGTTTACCCCTTCAATTTAGGCTAATTTTTTGTAAGTTTCTAAAGAAGAAAAGACTATTTTAAATGTTATTTGTAACTTAAAACTATCTTTAATCCCTTTAGAAACCCTAAAATTAGGTATTCTTCATTTTCTTTGGATTGGGAAGCAAGGAAATTTGTTTAAGTGGCTTATGTTCCCTCAGTGGCCACAGTGCAATGATACTCAGTTCTCAAACTGCTAAAATAAAGGAGAATCAGAGGTGTCACTGGGGCTGTCTTGGGAGATAAGGTAATTCATGTCTATGCCTTTCATGCAAACTCCAGATGTTTCTTTTCTATTTAAGAGTTGCTTTAGGTTTGAGTGAAAAGAATTATGCCTTCTAGATAAAGGCAAATTCTAATCATTTTCATAACCAGGAAACTAATAAAATTTTGATGTCTTACCTGCTAATTGATGAATATGGGCAGATCAATCTAATTTACAAGGTCATCCTAATGTATCAAGACATAGAAACTTTTGTAAATCCAAATTCGGAACATGTTTTGCCAAGATCTCTGTTGCTTGCTTGTACACTTTGAGAGCTGGGGTGCAATTTGCTGTTTAGAATGGGTGATCTGTCTCTCAAAAGGCCTAGAGAGGAAGACTGACTTACTGTCCTGTGGAGCTTTGGACCGGAATTTTCTTTTCAAACCTCTGTGTGACCTATGCCAAGTAAAGGGAAAGTTGGCAACCTTCCCTATATGTTGAGTTTTTCCAAACTCTGTCACAGATGTGAGCAAGTTGTAGTTTTCAGTTTACTACAGGCATAAGACACCGGAACTAGAATTCCATATTGCAACAAAACTAGCGGCTTCTTCCTCTCATAACTATTCAACAAAAGGGTGCTGGTGGCTGAAACGTATTTCCATTTTTTCAAAAAAAAATCCCTTGTCCTTTAACCTTTCTCTTTTGTTTGAAACCTCTTTCAGCACTTTTTTCCATTCCCACTTCTTTGTCAGCTGTTATTTTTGAATTATTTTTTTTTTAACTTCAGATGTTTGACTTTTCACTCTCATATATTCTGTTCTGCATTTGGTTATTTTCCACTCAGAATATAGGAGGGTGTTGCTGTTTGTAGGGGTGGCTGATTTCTGAATATTTCCCCAGCATTAGCTGAGACCAATGTTTTATGATTGTTGATGTTATTTATCCATGATATAAAAGGGATCTCTCAGATAGATAGTGAGTATAACAAAGTATGACAAAATGAGGAATTTATTCATTCCTCTTTGTGAGGTGGCCATCTGCATATTTGCTGAGCATTTACTGTAGCACTGTCAGATCAGTACTTGCCTTCAGGTTGAAAGGAGAATTCAGAGGCTGATATCAGAGATCTGGAAACATGAGGTAGTTGCCCTACAGCTTGTACCTTTTTAAAATGTAATTGCAGTAGCATGGTTCCTATTGTGGAGGACAATTTTATCAAGGGAAGTCACGGTGGCAGTGCAGGTACTGGCTGAGGGAGTGACAAACTGTGAAGAAGCTGATCAGAGCAAGCTGAAGGATGGATTGAAAAATGCTGAGAAGCTGAAGTTGAGTCCTGAGGTCAGGGTGGCCAGGGAAGACAATTTTCAATTTATCAGGATCATGTTGCAAATGTTCATAGGTCAAGGTTCAATTTCAGATAATTAATAGTGTCCTTGGGAAGAAATTTACTTGCAAGAGAAAAATCTAAGAGACCTAAATAGTGACAATAGTTCTGCAAATCAGATGCTCTCAGTAAAGGATTCGAGACAGTATTTTTGAAGGTTTACTAACTTTGGAGTCGTTGAACAGCAACAGCAACACTGTGCATACTGGTACAGCTAAACTGTGGGAAATATATCTTACAAAATATAGCTTGTATTGTAATGTTTTCTAACGGACACAGAAATGGCAGTGGTTTAGTTTGAAAAACATGTAACAGTGAGTACAGTTTGCTGCTTTGAACATAAAAGCTCTTTTTCTTTTGCTCTTGAAGAAGAACCTTCT